CAAGAGGGGTGTTAAGTTTAAGGCAACTGTATAATGTAGGCTATGTGCTTACGAATAATTAAATTAGAAAATGTTATACATAAAAATTCACACATAATTACTTTATATATACAGTTTGAATCGTGTGATTAATTTAAAAAAAAATTACAATACAGAAACAAATACAACTGATGTGGCACCTATATTTAAATTTACTTATGAGCAAACTGCGTAGTGGTGGGGAAATTTTGACAAAGTCAACAACGTCATCACGGTGAAGTAGTAGTATTCTTACAGTTTGGGCCATAGTGATTACGATTACAAATTATATGAAACAGTTACAACCCCCACCCCTCCCCCATGGACCCCTCTGTAAAAAAAATATTGTCATAATACCACTGCTACTTATTTCTGTAATATGTATTTGTGTAATATATATTTGTGTAATATGTATGTATGTTTAGAACAGTCATCTAAAAACTGACGATATGTTCATTCTGAGTTGGTTATCTCCCCCCCCCCCCCCCCACACACACACACCTCACCACCACAATTGTGTAGAGCGACATTAATGTTACACCTAGGTATACACTGGGTTGGATAATTGACCTAAAGTGACCGGACAGTGGTGAATGAAGTTGAGCCCCCCCCCCCCCAACCCACCCCGAACTGATCTGTTAAGTACATGTAGAAAAGCGCGTCATGATGTACTAAAGTACCATGCCGCCAGAAAATTAGCTTTTTAAACGTAAAACTCTGTGAATATTGTTTTTGCAAGTACCAGTAAAAAGGTGTGTGATCAATACAATGATCTAACCCATACCTATCACCATGTTAAAAAAATGATCTTTAAAGAACACAAAGAAGCAGTAGTTAGTTAAAAATATATGATCTGAACTAAAATTCCAACATTTAGTTAAATGTAGGCTGTTAATCCGAGTGTTTTTCTATTATATCGAAAATTGTGGTTTTATACCAACTCTGATTTTAAAAACTTTTATTATGCTGTAATACTTTAGCATTTATGATGACGATATATTAAATATGATTATAAACAAAAATATTTTGTAAACTCGAATAGTGTTAAACAATTTCATTATAATCTAAAGTAATTATTTATTTGTTTCGACATTTATAATTAAATGTGTAGATATATACATATTTATATTAAGAGAGTGATTATTTCCCCTATTTCACTTGTCTTAAATAATTTCACAGGAATTATTATGTAAGAAATTTTTTTTGCAAGAATTACAAAACAGATTGTGTTACGTTCATTGTTTTTGGTTGTAGTGTGTGTATATTATTTTTTGTTCAGATTGATACAATTTTTGTCTTTTTTCGGCCTACGTTGTGTGTTTTTTTCTTATTTCTTCAGAGTGCTACTTTCAATTTATTTTACATCATAGCGAAGTAATGATACAGCTAGTAATTATATATATATATATATATATATATATATATATATATATATATATATATATATATATATATATATATATATATATATATATATATATATATATATATATATATATATATATATACACGCATATTGAACGTGTTAAAAATTCGGCGCCTTTTTTTGCTCTTTTCGCTCCCCCTACAACGAAAACCTGGATACGCCTCTGGTGTGAAAGGAGTGGGGGAGGGGGGTCAGAAAGTGTGACGTTACACTATTGTTTTGTTTTTTTTAAAGTTATGTTAGAAGCTGAATTGTGATCGTTTTTTTCTACTTGTATAAAGCTGTATTTAAGAAATTGATTGACACACGCTATACTAACCGTGCTCACTAATATTTTAGAAATAAATCGATGTTTAAAAAATTATTTTGAGGGGAGGGGTGTAGGCTGGAAAGTGACGTCATTTTAGAGCGGGTCTAGCGTTTGTCTGACGATGTTTGCAGTGGCGTAGCTACCGTAAAGCTAGCGTATAATAAAGCTAGCGTAAGCAAGGCATAGGGGCCCATAGCATTTAGGGGCCCTTTTCCCTCTTAAAAAGTTTAAACTTTTTACGTTGAAATTTTAATATTTCTTTTATATAAATAATTTTAAAAATGAAATGAAAATTCCGTTTGTTTTCTATCGTAGAAACAATTAAAAATTCCAAAAAGCCCCCCAGTCCTTTCGTACTTTACAAGTAGTGGGATTCAGTGGGGGGGGGGGGGGGTCGAACAGGGCCCATCCTTAATAATATCACTATATCTTTACGTTAATGACATTTCATTTCTAATTAATCTTTAATCAATATGGCACTATTAAAATTATACGTTTTTGGTTTTCATCCAATCGCAAAGAAACTTTGGGAAATCGTTGAGAATATGCCAACGGAAGTGTTTTTTCCCCAGACATTTTTCCTGAAAAAAACTCTGACTTTTGGGGAGGTTTCTGCATTTAAATTTTTATTTTATTTCTGAGGGCGCCCCCCCCCCCCCCCCGGCAGTAAGGCGGCGCGGTTTGCCACCCAGAGTTTCCCAGTGGCTATCTTTGCTCCTGGGTTCTGTTGATCGGGAGTCCGGCGCATCGGGTCAGCGTTACTACTTGATTCTGCGGTCAAATTGCACGGGCGCATTAGCCGGCACCCCGGCGGTCGCCTATATTCGTTTTAATGAGCCCCATGGATATGTCGGGATACAAAAATCGATTACTAAATCGCATAAGTGGTGTCACCTAGCGCATCAGCAGTAGTAACGGTTGGGCTCCCGAATTACTCTGCGGCTACCTAAGTGCACGAGATCCTTTGGACGTCAAACGCCCTCGGCGTACAGATGACACCAATTACACAAGTATTATACAAGGGACAGAGGTTGCATCTGGCTACATACGGTAGTGTAACCAGTGACTCCCGCGACTCCCCTGACACCTAGGCGGTCGCCGAAAAGTATTCAACCTCACAATAACGGAAGATGATTAACGTACACTCAATGTTTTCATACAGCACGCCCATGGGCGTCTGAGCGGTAGTATGGACCAAACCCGCATCTAGCAACAAAGATACGAATAAAAAAGCAGTGGCGTTGTTTACATTTTAACTAAACCTATCTCAGTTTTAGAAAACAAGGTCACACGACTAAAAATACACAATTAGAAACGTATTGATGAAACCCTCACAAATTGTTTTGTTACCCTGGTATGTAGGACTAGATCGCAGCAACGCGGAGGGTACGCTAGTTAGTATAAACATTCTTTAACATTCCATGGTGATCGGGAAGGAGATTTTGATGTCTATGATGGTTCTCGATCCTTATTTGCTCAATATGATGATGTTATTTGTTATAAAACAAATATTAGGTATGCCCATTGGGTCAGTAGCTTGGCCATTCTCAGAATCGAACATATAGAAGCAGCTAAAGTAGATCTCAATGAACTTATTAATCATTTTACAAAATTAAAAGCATGAAAAATACAGATCTAAATAAATCTTGAGCAATTTTTGAAAAAGAAAATGTGTTTGGTTAGTAGCGTCACAAGGTCGGGTGTTATCCTACGTGTTTACTAAAGGTGTCACACCATCGTCCCCAACAATTTTGCATTCTCGGAGGGGTTTTTACCCTCTCTCACAAATGATATAATATTTTATCTGGATACAACTTAGTTTTGACAATAAATTTGTGTCACGCCTAAATGCTATCATCCTATGCGGACCACACCTCTACCCCAGCCTTATGATGCTACTGTGTTTGTTTACTTAAAAACAAATTAACTGTAAGCCTGTAATATTTTTACAAAACTACATACCAATATAGTATAAATACACAATCCGGACATATACAATTTAAAATGTACAGAATATTTATATTATTTTTGAAATTCTCCATTGATTTCTTCGTTTAACTTCATTGTAGCCTAAAGGCTGACGAAGGGGGTCCAATGATAATTTTTGCATAGGGGCCCAAAAATCCTAGCTACACCACTGGATGTTTGGCGATGGGGAGAAAGCCCTAACATTCGTCTATGTTCTATATCAGGGGTCTCCAAACTTTTCAGCCCGAGGGCCGCATTAACTATCAAATATCAGTTCGGGGGCCAGTTTCTTCCAGGCATCTCTTGCGATTCTGTGTTTGTTTCTTTCGACATGTCTCTGAACTATCTATAATTGAGCCCATGTGACCTTATTAAATTCACATTTTCACCACGGGGTTCAGTACACTGCTAATGTCCACATATTTAGCACACAAAGGTTCCTGGTGAATAATACAGTGCAGGAACATTGGTTGTAGAATGTTTTTCTCATTCGCTTGTCCAACAAAGCCTTTCTTTATGCCACTCTTTTACTTTTCTCCATCAACAGTCAGGCAACTGAGGTTAGTCCAGTTCAAGCTATAATCAGCAAATGTATTTTTCAACTCATTGAATATATCATCTCTGGTAACAGTGCCATACATAATATGTAGGGAAGCCAGCTCTTGTGTTATGTTCATGTCTTCATTCACACCTCTAATGCACACAAGTAGTTGAGAGGTGGAACAGCTGTCCAGCGACTAATCCATCGCAATTAAAAAATGTCGAAACTTGCTTGCATTTTCGCTATTTAAGTAACGATGTTTTCACTTTCATGTATGCAACACGGCGGACAATAGTATTTGCACCAAAGTTACATTTTCAAATTGATAAGAATTTTTTGAGCAAAGTTCCTCAGCCATCGCCAACAAACTTTTTCCGTGATCAAAAATATCACTGCGGCCGGATGAGAGGACCTTGCGGGCCGCATTCGGCCCGCGGGTCGTAGTTTGTAGACCCCTGTTCTATATCATTATTATCCAATTAGTATTAATTTCATAGAGCAGCTCGAAACAATCCTTTTGTGAGCACCCCCCTTCTAACACCGACTCTGATGCAAATAAAAAGTAATAAAATATCAACATATTTTTAAAATGTCAGTCTTGAGTATTGTTGATTATTTGAATTTTATATTTGATGTTACATAGAGTCTAGTATTAATATTAAATCGTTTACCTTTCAGACATTTAAATTTAAATAATAAAATATTTTATATAACCAGAAAACCGGAAATAGATTTAAGTTTGTAACTAAGTGACGCTCTAAAGAGTGGACAGATGACTTGAATATTTATAACACTGAAGTATATCTAGATCTATAAGATGTTACAATCACAATATGAATGTTACAAACTTTTAAAATATTTCTTTTTTTATATGCATAAAGCTACAATATAAAATAATTAAAGAGGTTCTTAAATAATAAATAATAAACTAAATGTTAATATTTATTTATTTAATATCCCATGGAGTGTAACTTGGCATCAGCATCAAAATCAAGGTCTCGTGTTGGACTAAAATTAAATAAGCCATCATTGGCGACATGTCCAGAAACAACTAAATCTAAATCTTCTAAAATTACTTTAAAAATAAGTTGTAGTCAATACGAGTCCTACAGAAAAAGCAAAATGACCTTAGCTGCTGGAAATAAAAGTAAATCGTACACACACCCTTGGGAAGTAAGTTGTCAAAGGTGTCAAGTGAATATATATAATTTTGGTAATCTATCGTTTTAAGTGCGTAAAATCGGCCGAGTAATGTGGGAAAAAAAGGTTACTCCTTAAATTTTAGTTATTATTTCACATTTTTAGGCGGATTTATTTTTTAAAGTATACAAAAAAAAATGTTTCAAAGATTCATTTATGTACCTGTTTTTAAGCAATTGTATTAAAACTTTTCAGCAATAAATCAATAAATAAAGACTAGCGATGTTTTCATCAGAGCAACCAAGCTCATTTACTTTAGAAACTATCTTGTTTAAGTTTTTTTTTTTTGTAAACTTATGGTGGGAGATTCAGGGGAAGCCAATCTATTTTACTGATGACTGTTGATTATATAACAAATCTTGCTCACAAACACTGCCGTTTAAAAAGTTAATTTCTGGTCTATATTGATATACTTAGCCATTGATTTTGCTTTATTATTGAGTTATCTATAATATTTGACACAAATATATCACAATATACTTCTATTAAAGCCTTAACAATGATGTAACTTTTTCGCACATTACTAGCCTCTGCCGATTTTACCCACCTAAAACAATAGATTACCATAATTTTTATCAGGCTTTAGACTATAGGCCTAAACAAATATTCTTAAATTATAATAATTTATAGTTATTAATATCTAATATAATAACTAAAAACTTGTTTAATAAAAGTAGGCCTAATCATTACGCAATGCATTATCATTAATCCTTATGTTGTTAGTAGGGTAAGTTAATTTTATTTAATATATATTATATAGGCCCATGTAGCTATTAGCTCCATGGGCAATTGTTCAAATTTGAGTTCTACAGTTAAAATATCAGATGTAAAAAATATTATCACTGCTGTTCTGTTTTTTGGCAGGAAACATTTACGGATAGATTTGTCTCCTTACTTGAAAAATGTTAAATATATTTGCTCGTGGCACAATTTTTGGTAGTAGGTATGTAAGAAAACCCCTGGTAATGTTAACTTCTTTTTCAGGACCGTACTGTTTTAAGCGATGTATATGAAGGTCCTTTGTCAGAAAGGGAATCTTGGTGGAGAAATGAAATAAAGGCAAGTAACTTTTTCTTATTGTTTCGCAGAAATCTTTGTTCTTTTGGGTTAGATTTGGTGTTAAACTATCATTAAGGTGGTTCTAAAAAATAAATGCGAATTCAACTATTTTTTTTTTAATTTTACATCTGCTGATTGACTTGATATAACTGCTAAGATTTTTCACACAAATACATATACAAAATTAAATGAACAGACTTTATAGCTGACATGAATATTAAGTTAAAAAATTAACAACTTTTTTAGCTATGGATTAATTAAAGTTTGAGAATGTTCCATAACTCTTTAGAGTTATTAGAATTTTATATTAGGTTGTGGGTAAAGGTTATTCTATTATGAGTACTGTAGTCTAACATCAAATTACATTAACAGGTCACACCATCACCAGGGACATATGAGATTACAGATTTTTTAACCGAGTTATCCAAAAAGCCAAACTCTTACAGATTCAAATCAGTCTCCAGAAAAAACAATTTTGCCTTTATGCGGAGTGGGGCGCTTCTTTTACCCGGAAATTATGAAGTTCATGATTTTATTGAAGAGTAAAAAAAAATATTTTTGACATTTTTTAAAAACCTTTCCATAAATTAATTTGTTTATAATAGTTTTAAAAATGTCTCTTTATTTAAGTATCAGCTATGCTAAAATAATTTAATACTTTAAGTTGTTATCATCGTGGTTGTGTAAGAGAACTCTATACTATTGCCTCTAAAATCTCATGTACAATTCTTGCACTAGTCCATTAGACACCACTGAGTTATCCCAACTATGACGAGTACCTGGCTCAAGTCTGGAAAGTGGAGACAGCTAGGCATAGTGCTGACTACGCTATTTAATAATACCTACATATGCAGCGGTTTAAGAAACAGATGAAGTTTACGTCACCTGCCTCTTGAACAGTCAGACCTGTATTATCATGGAATGATGTAGTTGAGTGTAGAATTCACAATTGCTAACCCGCAGTTACTTCTCTTTTGGGTACCTGACTCAACTCTGGGAAATAAATGGTGTCTCAATATGGTGTTGGTCTTATACATAATATTATGCAATACATAATTTTTACATATGCTGAGGTTACAGGTTCCAATATGATAATTGTATGTTTTTATTTTTAAATTGTTATTACTAATTTTACAAACAGAAATCTTTTTTTAAACTATAGCTTGAACAAAAAACAAGCAACATATTCTTTCAAATCTGAGCAGAGAGATGCAAAGGATGTTTTAAATTTTGGACTTAAAGATAAGGTAATATTTAATATCCAAGTCTGTAGTTTTCTAGTACTTTTTAACTTTGTCATCATAATGAACTGATTCCTTAAGTTATACTTTTAACTGTAGTGTTAATGGTCTTTTGTTTTCTCTTGTGTTATATATATATATATATATTGGCAGAAAGGTGGATAGACGTTGGCATAATGTTTAGTGATTGCAAAAAGTCTATTACAATTTAGTCAAATAAAAGACAATGTATATTGCATGTTTCCTTTTGAATATAACTCTGTATTGCCCAAATTATGTTTTAATTGTTAAAAAACATTTAATGTGTTTTTCTTCTTTATTTTACTTATAAAGAGTAGAAATAAATCAAAACAAATGGTAAAAATGTCTAATATTAAAATGTGACTAATTTGTCATGTTTGTCTTTGTGTCATCAAAAATATTTAGAAACTCAATTTAATCCTTTTTATCAGCATTTCACTTACACTCAGAAAATCAAATAATAGACAGAGAGTTTAAATGCAATTTTAAATTGCAGCTTAATATAAATAATTTCTTTTTTTATGAAATTGAACAAAGTAGTCATCTGCATTATAATAGGGTTAAAATATAAGACTAGATTTCTCCTCAGACAATTTTGCAGTTGTTATCCAGAGTTCATTCCCTTAGAAATGACAGTAGGCATTTTTCTTAAATAATTTCTGTCTCTGAGTGGATGATAAACCAATTGCATTTTCCTATATGAACCTATCATTGCCATATTTTAAATAATAAAACATTCCAGTAAATAAAAACATCACATACTAAATCCAAGTAAGCAAATGCCTACTGAATTGAATCTTTCCACTGAAAGATAAAAAGCTGGTATTAAGAAGTTTTTGTATAATAAAAAATAATGCTTCTAGAATTTTCTTTTATCTCCTTCTACAGAACATAAATGTACCACCGAATGCTTACCACGTAGAAACATTTTTGTCTGTAGATGGAGAGAAAGCACCAGTAAAGTGAGCTGCATTTTTATCATCTTAGTTCTAATTTTGCGATCCACAGTTAGTGTGCAGCCTGGAATAGGGACTGGGTTAAGGCATTTTAACAGATACATTGGGAAATTTACCTGAAGTAAAAGATGGTATGGAGTAGGCATGACCTGATAGTATAGCTCACAACTACTAACCTGGAGTTCAGATCCCAGGTTTGAGTCTGTAGGACATCCTTGCGTCAATACCAGCTCTGATGGGTACCTGACTCACGTTAGGGAAATAAAGACAGCACCGTGCTGACCACACTATCCCCCTTGTAAGCTGAGGTCATTGAAAGGGAAAAATAATAATGAAAAGATGGTATAGTTTTTTACTTGCTAACCATCAACAAATTTTAATAAAATAAATAATTTGAATTTTATGCTCATAATACTTTTTAAAAAATGTTTATATATTATGCTAGCTTAGAAATTCTAATTGAGTGACTGCTTTGTACTTTAAACATAATATGGGCTGAAGAAAACATGACTGAAATATCTTTTGCTAATTTAATTGTCCTAACATTGTAAATGCAAATGATTAACCTCATTGAGGCCACTATTTTCATTTATTCTATATTACCTTTTTCTATAACTGACCACCCTTTTTATCTCATTTTTCATTAACACTTTAGGAGCTACATGTTCAAATCTCAGTCAAAACGATTTCCAAATAACATTTTCAGGCCGGTGAGTTTAATTTTTCTGGTACTTCAACATCTAAGTTCACCAAGTGAACAATGCAGTATTTATCCACATTTTTTTTTCTGGTATTACTGTTAAAAAATAAGTGAAAATTATGTTTTGATCTAGAATTGTGAGAACAATGAAAAATAGCAACAGCTCAGTCCAGATGTGATAGGAGTAGGCCTACCTTTATTTTTGCTTATATAATCTACTTAGAATAGATCATATTTATTGGCTCTTTAATTTTAATTTGTTTTTGGGTTTTTTATGCATTGTATTTTAATAGTTTTACTGCTATGCATCCAGATGTTATTATTATAAAACAAGCTTGCAACAAAAAAACTACCACTCACACATTTTTCAAAAATATTTAATTTTAAACACACCATTAAAACTCATGAAACTTTTTAACGTTTTTTTTTTTAAATTCTACAATCTCCAGAAAGAAGGTCCCGCTCCCGGTGCATATGACGTGAAGGACACTGCACCACCAGCCCCTGCTGTGACTTCCTGTTTTAGGTCAAAGCAACCAAGGTTTCCCATGTTACAATCGGTATACAACTGATTGCTTCCATATAACATTTGAGCATTAGGTTATTACATTTAAACAGTAGTTCCTAGAGTAGTTCGCCTTGAGTTGTTTTTTGTTTCCCTTGAAGTAAAATAAATTACACTGTGGGTGTTCAACTAAATGTTGATAAAGCAGTTCTATTCGTTTACATGAAAATAAAATAATGTTACAATAGTGAGAATAATAATATAATTATAACCTTGTTGAATACCTTTTGAAATAAAGAGATAAACAACTAAATTACTTATTGTTTCCATTGCTTATTTTCTTTATTTTTACATCTGCTTTCATGTTTAAAGAATTTGCAAAAAAATACATAGTAAATTATTTCAAATGAATTTTTTTTAAGCATTAGTTATATATGCAGATTGTTTTGTTAAATTCTATTTTTTAAAAATAGTTTTTGGTTTGTTTTATTAATTTATAACTTTGCTTTAAATTTATAGAAATTGCTTTCCCTTTTTCTCTATTAAATTAAATTTGTGTTAATTAAACTTAAATATATAGAATAATTTTTTTCTCTTAATGTAAACCTTTGACCCACAGAAAGTTCCTGATCCAGGGTGGTATGCCAAGACCTATCAACACCCTATGCCAGATACTATAGCCAAGTTGGGGAGAAATCATGGCCTTTTTTTTACTAGTGAATTTCAAGTGTAATGTTGGTTACTGTTTTGTCCTGAGTTTTATGGTTAAAATTATTTACCATTTCTTATAAGCTTATAATATTGGTTGATTTCATCTGTGATATTTTGTTACTGGAATTTACAATTAATTTTCACCAACAGTATTTAAAAAAAAAACAGCATTCATTTTTAAATGTTGTTTGTTCATGCAAGTATTATAAACATTATTTTTAAATTATGTTTTGTGTTTTTATAAACGTGTGACACACTTTCAATTTTAATAAATGTTTTTAACTCAAATATATTAATGTTAAAAATGAATATTGTTTTGTAAATATTTAGATTTGTCAGTGCTAAATAATTTCAGTTTTTATAACTATAGATTGTAGTTTATGACAGTAGTTTACTAATTATATTTATTTTTGAGACACCTGTAATTTTTTTATAGCCAATTGTGGTTTAAACATTTTATAAGTTTATACCACTCATTATAAAAGATAATAATTAAACACATACAATTTTTATGATCAGAACAAGAATATGATCTAATTTATTTAATGATATTAGTATTTTGAGATATCTTCTTTGTTCTATGTAGAAAAATGTGTTTTTATATAGGCCTATTTTTTCATTTTCTTTAAGATAATTTCTAAGCTTTTAATTTGCATTAATGCAGAATATATACTATTATATACACACCAATAAATTGTTCTAAATATTTCTTTCACACAAACTTTGGTATTTGTTGCAGGAATACCTTCACATCAGTATTAATTATTCAGTATTCACTTTGAAATATTTTTAAATTCTATTTGCTGGGTGCTGTTTCTTAGCCATATTTTTTAGTTACAGCAATGTAAATAATTTTATTACTGTTAAATTTTAGAAATGTTAAATTTAGAATGCTACTCGGTAGATTGCTCAAAGTACATATTTTTTAAATAGTTTAATTGAAAATAACAATGTTAACAAAAATGAATCTTAACTATATATTATCTGATGGAGCCTCAAATTTTAGAGGCAGTGCCAAAATAATGCATTACTAGTATTACTTTTTTAAAAATATTGATTTAAACTAAATGTTAAGCTAATATTTATTATCTATGAATATTATTTTAAAAAACCAATTGTTTTATTAATGTTTGAAAGTATAGACATGTATTAAAGTATTAAGATTATATCATTTATAAGCTTTAACTTTGCTATCAAATTCTAAAGCTGTTAACTATTTTTTTATTTAATTTGTTACATGTTTATCTTAGTGTTTATTCTGTAATAACCAGATGTTGGTGCTTTGCTAAATAAATTAAATTCCTTATTTAAAGCAGGATAGATGACAACTGCACTTGTTCATTGTAAATTTTAAAATACACTAAGCTTGACTTAATTTACTTAATCTTGTGAGGCCCTTGAGGAACAAATGGCCTCAGCTAAACCAGTCCTCATAATTATTTTGGGCTGCTATTTTTAGTTGAGCCCCACAGCCCTTGTTTCTCCTTCCACATTCTTTTCCAAGACTGTTAAGACTCAGTTCTCTCTACTCCTTGTGGAGCATAAGGCCTAACCATAACTTTCTACTTTGTCCAGCTGTGTATTTTGCAGTCTCCCAAGACATATCCAGAATTGGTTAGGCCCGCCTACTTTTCGTTTCCCCTGGGGTTTCCAGTCCAACAACATGCCCGATTTATAATACACAAAAATATACTTCGAAGAATTAATTCACACATTATTTATTACTTTTTTTAAATCTCTCTTTTTACCATCCTGACCAGATGAATGTTTTTATACTAATATTTTTTGATAATTGTTTATTTGTAGCAATTTTGTTTTCAAATCTCTTTCGAATCGGTGTAAATATATACCACTGGGGATTAGTATAATTGGTAGTGTTTTCATCAACTCATATATTTCAGGCAATGGTAAAGCTTTAGAATTTATAGTGATAGCATTATATTTTTCTGTATGCTTATTTATGTTTATTCGAAAAAAAGCATGATTAACTATCAACTAACCATCATTTTTAAATCTAGGCATATTTTCTTGCAGATATTTTTTATAAAATTAAAATACTTATCTACAAACTACAAATAAGAATGCACCAGTATTATATTTATTTTGGAAAATTTTCTTCTATTTGATTAAAGATTTTCAGTTGTATTTAATACTTTTACTTATATTTTGTTTTTCAAAATTTTGTGATTAAAGTACAAAAAAATAGGTGCCTATATTTACCCTCCCCCCCCCCCAACCATCATTATCCCCAGATCAATTTAACCCCCCCCCCCCATGTAAATTGCCCTTTTCCTTGAGATACATATTGCAGTTTTACCTATATGGGACAGGTGTGGTTAAATGGTAGAGCATACGACTGCTTGAATTCTAATTCATGTTCAAGTCCGTAGAACTCCTTGAGTTCACTCAGCTCTGATGGGTACCGTATACACTTTATGGACATAAGGCATCTGGGGATAGTGTTGATCACATTATCCCTTTGAATGCCAAGGTCACAGAAACAGGTGAACTCTATTTCACTTGCCCCATTGGACCGTCAAGTTTAAAAGGGAACTTAACTATCCTTATCCAGCTCCCTAGCCTATCCCTAATGACATACTTATCCCATTTCAATATAGAGTCAAAAAGTGATTGATGATGGGAGGGGGGTATTAATTGATCTGGGGGAATGGCCAAGTCCAGCTTAAAAAAAATTAGAGTGTCAGTTGTTCAACTTGAGTGTTTGAAATATTTGCTTTTAAACAAACAAAAATTAATAACTATAAACAAACAAGAATACAGTTTATAAAAAAACAATACTGATATTATATTTATTGGTGCAGCTTGATTTATTATTAAACAAAAAGTTTTTAAAACAACCTATTAGAATTTGATATTTTGAAACGCATAAAAGGGAATTAAATGATGAAAGAAATTTTAAGATGCAAAATAACCTTTTTATCACAGATTACAATTTTCCCCACACACACACACAAACTACTGTTAAACTATTTACAGTGCAATAGATAAAGAAGTGTCACTTGAAAACATTTAACAAGTGTCTAATTTACAATATAATGAAAAATTATTTATTTAATTTTTTATTTTTACATAAAAACATCCTTAAAAAGTTGCATGTTTGTTGAGTGAAATGCATCTTTTTAGCAAACCAGTCACAAATTATGGAGAATATAAATCTCAACCTAACAAGATTTGGGGTGCATTAATGTCCACACACACAGAAATAAATTCACTCGTGCAATGTGCATGAAAGACTAGATAAAAACTGAATTTTAATTTCATAAATATCTACAAAACTATTACTGTAACAGACATCCTTTTGCTATGACTATGTAATGCAGATATCCCCATTACATTTCTAGCCATTAATATATCCCTCTGGACAAGCTTACAAAAATATACAAGTCATTTTATATTTTCAACCTTATTTTAAAAAATCTACATGCCAATTAAGTTGGTTGATACAGTCAATATTTATATATGTCCTTTATAAATGTGCAATCAACACTTATGTCTGTCAAATATATATGACATGTGCAGTCCTTTATATAAGTGCAATCAATATTTATAATTTACGTCTGACGTTAAGAATTTTGCATCATGCTTACAATAAGGGCAAGTCAGAGAGGACGTAATAAAACTTCCTGAATTAACTCTTCAAGTGATTGTTTAGATAACAAGGTGGGCTACTCACCTGCATGCAGTTACAGCAAAGGGAGAAAGCTAAGAGGTATAATACAAGTACACGCACATTATTGAATCTACTTGTTCCAACAATTATCAAGTTTTTATACAAATTACAGTTTATTTATATCACAGATTTAATCAATTGCACTATTGATGCAATAAAATACCACTTTACTTCATCTGCAATATGTTGCTAAGTATTTCTCACAAATTAGCAGTATTTTTCAAAATAAAAAACTAATAGAAAACAACAGTTGACAAAAAACTCTGATAATAAAAAATGAGGGGAAACAATATTTTTCCTTGTATAGGGTGATTTGGTCCTATCTAGTACACAATTGATTTTTTTTATCGGGTAACAACTAAGCAAAAAAATTCTACATTGCACATAATAATTGCACTTAACCAGAATTATCTTGAAACTACTTGATTTATTCTGGTTGGTAGAAACTACTTTATTAATATACCATTTTAAAAATGATAGATTCAATGTTTTCATGCTATAATTATAATGAAAATAAAAATAAAGAAATACTGACTGGCTTTAAAAATTTAATTTTTTATTCTATTTTATGGAAAATTGTTTTTTTAGTGTCCTTTAATTTTTTTAATTTGTGTATCACTTATGGCATAAACTACTAAAGTTTTAACTTATTTCATTGAAGTGCAACTGGGCTATATATTTTTATAAAAGGTAGAGTACAGTTAGTGCAGTGTCAGTTTTTCTGCTTTATTGGTGCTGCCTTTACACATTCATACCAGTACCTCCACAAACCAATTAAAGCTCTGTAACCCTGTTTCAATATCTAATATTGAAATTTAACTAATGTATTCGTTGGCTCCATGAATATTTTTAACAAATTCAAAATATTTTGAGTATTTGTGGAATGATACATTACAAAAAAAAAACCTAAATGGATTTTAAATGAGCCAGTGAGCAGGAATTAAGCACCGGTAAACAGGAACCATTCTCTTCCAACAAGTTCCATGCATGAAGTGAACCCAGGACAACAGTGGGAGCTAGAGCTGATAGGGCAGGTTCTAATTATGTCATGACCCTCTGTATAACGTTGAAGGGTGCTATGGGACAGGTGGATTCCAGCATCACACCTGTCATGTGGCAGTTGCTTGCGTCCTCCGGCTGGCAGATGGCTTCGAGCACAGAGCCTAAAACAAACCTGCAGACACAAAAAGAAAACTTTAAACAGGTTGTTATTATAATAAATATCAGTGAGTGTGCTAAGCTATTTTATTTATATAAATGTAATAACTTTTTAAAACTAATATAATACTGAGTGTACTCACTGTAAAATTATTAAATTTTAAAAATGTAGCCTATTAAATTTTATATCTATTTAGATCAAAACTATCAAATCTAAGCCTTTAGTACTACTTCATTACAGGTCTTAAATACATATAACTCACCAGGCTTTGTGGAAACATGGGTCTAAATTCACAACATCTCTTAATATTTTTTCTGCTAATCTGTTGTCTCCGAGCTTATGCAAGACAATGCCCTAATGGAAACAATGTTATATGTTAATAAGTTTGATTTAAATACAACAAGATGTTGATAAAAGAGAGGCAACAAGTTTCACAGCTTAATGTATTGAGAGATTGCAGTTTTCAGCAAGAAAACAAGGGAATTAACTTTTTGCCATTCATTAAGAACTATTTTAAGTGAGCCCCAAACTTACAAGGTGATACAGTGATTTGCTATGTGTGGGATTCACAGACACAGCATTCTCATAACATATTTTAGCTTCAGTTAGGTTACCCTTGTGCTCGTTCACAAGACCTTTCTGTAAAAATAATAGAAGAATTTTACTTACAAGTTAGATTTAAACTATTCTTACATTTTTTGGTTGGGATGTTGTGGTTGTATGATAGAGCACCATATTGCTAACATGTAAGCCTCAAGTTCAGTTCCTAAAGTCAGTAACAATTTCTTCAGTTCACCATACAGTTGCCTGACTTGGGACAGAGCAAGTATGTTGACCATACAATCCCTCTATTTGCTGATTTCACAAAAACTTAACATATGCTCCTACAGAGGATTGAGTAAAATTGGTACTCTCCTCTAATTAACTATACGAGCTGGCCCGCGGCATAACATACACCGCTATTTAGTTGTTGTTTTTTCTACTTTTCAGTAATTCATAATTTGTGAATTCGACAGTACCAACGCTGACACTGAAAATATTTTTTTAAAACACTATAAGTAGCTCGTTAAGGACCATAACCCCCCTTCCTCCCCCCCCCCCCCCCCACGTTTAAAATCGTTTCAAACTAAATTATCTGCCCCTAATAGCCGTCACTAAAACCAACTCCACGAAGGTAAACATAGCGTGAACCACAGCTCACTAAGACCATGTAGGGGTGGGGATGGTAGGGAGCGCGTTTACAGCTTGTTTTCTAGTATCTCCCAGAAGAGAATTATATATATAGATGCTATATAAATATGCAGTATTTTTTGTCATGTTAAGGTAAATAAACAAGATGTTGAAATTTAGGGCCTACAAATGTGGTTGATGAAATCTTACCATGAAAAATATACAAACGGAACAGAAATCTGACCATAAAAAATACAATAACTGAACAGAAACCTTACCATAAAAAACACATAAACTGAATGTGGAAACAGCTGAAATGTTTCATTAACACAGCCTTGAGCTTCTTCAACCTGATTCAGGCTAAGGTACAGCTCGGCTGAAAGGTTAAAAAAACAGGATGCTGACCTTAAAACTACCACTACAGAAATTAATTAGCAAAAATGTTTTAAGTAAACTATGTTCAAAATGTAAGCAGTATTAACAAGCAATGGTTCCTAATGTTTGGTATCTTTTATACCGCTTGATATGTATTTTTGTTTAAACTGATATACTCCAGTTTAAACAACACCAAAGGAATCTCTAAATAGTTTTGTTAGTATTGAAAGCCTTAATGAGTTTTATACTTTTAAAGTAGCATATTAAGAAATAAATTGTTGGGGTTTTTAAATAATTTTTATAAAACATTTTTTTTTAAAAATCAATATTCCAATGAAATAGTAAAATCTGTTAAAGGCACTTTAACCAATGCCGTCAAAGTCGTCTTTTAACAACAGAATTCAAAATTTATCTCAACTCAAACTTTACCAAAATTCATTCAAAATTTAAATTCAAAGCTTGCCTAAATCCAAAGTTTACCAAATTCCAAAGCGTACCTAAATTTAACCAAATCTAAGCGTACCTAAATTTAACCAAATCTGTGCCTGTATAATCCAGGACCTCTGTGGACCTGCTCGGGGCTGAAAACTGCTATTCATTGATGACGCTAAATCTGACAGAGCTTTTTCTATCCTAGATGCTGCAAAAGATTCTGCTCTAATGGATCCTGAAAAAGAGCACAACAAAGCTTGTAATTTCTTATCAAATTATTTTGGTATCAAACTAAACAAAAGTTGAAGAACTTAATTAAATCCATCCTCAATAAATCAACTAAAGCATGTTTTCTATACATAAATATATATTTAATTTATTAACAATCTTTTTCACCCACCTGATCCTCTTTCATTAAATTCGTTAAGCGTAATCTGAGCAAGGCTTCTTTTATCCCATGTTCTATCTCTGGCTTTAGATTTACTGTCTGAACCACTGCAGGAATCAATACATTAATTAATGTTAGGTTTAATTTAAGTTATTTAACTAACTTAAGTGCACACAATAAATTTTTTGGTAAATGCATAATTAATTAAAGGTTTTAAGCATAAAGATTACAATTTATTGCAGTGTAACTTAAAATATGATGTTGTTCCACTTTAATTAATTCCAGGAGAAAATCTCAGCAAAACTATTGTGTGCATAGCTCTTGAAAAAGAATTGGGTAAACTGAGAAAGAAGTGCTTTTTTTTCAAAATAAATTTGTTCACTAAATGTAATAGAAAATTGGTCCACTTTATTTGACCACTTTGTATACAAATTCTGAGTTATTTAAAGTGTAATTATTCCAATTGAAAAATATAACTAATACATGAATACTAATAATTGAAAGGGCTTATTTTCAAAAACCCACCTAACTCATTCAATGTATCACAATGTTAAAAATTACAGGGCAAAAATAAAAAGTACATTGAATTAGTGCATTTATTTTACTCACTCATCAGCTATATCCATTTCATGCATGTCTTTCCAGAGTTTCAACATCTTCTGGTAGGTTTGAAGTGCTTCTTCAGGGCCATTAACAACTTTCTGAAGCTTTGCTTTTGTCATGAGCAAACTAGGGGAAAAGTCACAATTTTTAACATTTACATCTATGTTAATTTCACAGAAATTAAATACGTGTAGTGAATCAACAAAAACTTGAGTTTTGATTCAATAGACTTGATTATTGATTATTTTATATCTGTGTGCTGTCAGCATAGAGGGTTTAAATAAATAAAGCGACTAAACACCTTAAGTTATCAGGATACTCGTCTAGCGCAGCATCAATCAGAACCATAGCATCCTCATGTTGTTTCCTTGCTGACAGCAGTAGGGTGAGAAGATGAAGGGAATGTATGAAGTCACAACGGTGTTTCAAAGATTTTTTGGTGTACTCAATAGCATCATTTATCTAATGAATTACAAAAAGATATATATTATTTTAGAACCTTTGTCCTTAAAAAGTATCTGAACAATGATTCAAAAGTGAAATAAAATATTAACTAAACAGATCTGAATTAAGTATATTCACAGTAATATAATTAGCCTTACCCTACGAAGATTGGCATACTGTAAAGCTAAATGGAATGCTGAGAGGTAGTCTTCAGGATCTAACTCATGAGCCCTACAGAACAAACAAACAATACATTTGAATTGCTACAACTTACAAAAGTAGTAGTTTAACTGTATCCAAATATTTTCTATGAATGCTAATTCAATAGGAGGGTCAAATTACAAATACATAGATTTTTTTTAAATATACAATCAAGTCAAGTTATTCTTTTAAACATAGTGGTCCATGAAGTAGTGTTCACCAGTTTCTGTCACCTCAGCATATAAGTGATAGTGTGGTCAGCACTATGCTCAGCAATCTTAACTTTCCACAAAAATTTCTGAAGAATTACAAAAAAAGATATTATATTATTTTAGAACCCATGCCTACTAGCATTCAACTTACTTTTTGAAAGCATCCAATGCCCTTTGATTCAAATCCTGTCTGACCGCCAGGAGTCTTGAGTCCTTAGCAACCAAGCACAATCCTATCCCTAAGGCCATGTGTCCCCTGGCCAGGTGATGTGGCAGGGCATCACATTTGATAGCTGCCTGAGCCCAGTCTACACCCTGCTGGTTCAACTGTAAGTGTTCGTAGCACAGCTGAGATGCTTGGAGGCAGACATACACATTCTTTGGGGCTAGTCTGTGGCACTCTGTTAGTACAAGCAGGGCTTGAGCGTACTGGCAAAGAGTTCAGAAACAGTTTTGATTTTATTAAGTTTATTGACCATCAGCATTCATTTATTTTTAAAAATAATTTTTAAAGTATAGAAAATTGTTAAATTTTCTAATGCAGTGGTTCTTAACCTTTTTTGAAGTACTGAGTCCCACCAGTTTCATATACGCATTTATTGAACCCTTCTATATAGTTCTTTTGTCCGCACTGACAAAACCTGATCATGAATCACATGAGTTGTTTATGTGTCTTGACCTCAACCCCTGAGACTGACTCACCCTAAGGTTCGATCAAAATTAGGTTAGGATCCACTAATATTATGCTAATATTATGACACACGAAAGTTAAAACATTTTTAAGCATCAATTTCTTTATACTATTATAGATAAATTTCTTAAATTATGTAATATTTTTATTTTTCCATCTTGATGCTCTCTATGGTAACTAACAAATAAAATGGGGTTTTTTATTATATATTCAAACAATATAACCAAAAAAATGTTTTTAATTGCTTGATATACAGAAGACCATGATATTAACCACACACACACACACAAAAATCACATTTCTTACCTTGGTGGATGACACAAGTGAGTTAGCAAACTGATACCAAATGTGAAATTCCTGGAAGGAAAATCTCATTGCCTTCTCAAAAGACTGTAAAATAAAATAAAATAAAATTTTACAGTGGCAGAAATTACTGTTAAAAAAAGAAATATTTCCATATGCAAACAATAACTGAAGTAACCCTTTCCGCCCTGGTGATCAATGGGGCACATGAAATGGTGTTTACCCATTTCTTTGAACTCATAATGTAAAGGAATAATGCTGGTGTATATACTATACCCAGTCACATTTACTGTCCTTAACATGAGTCAGGTACCCATCAAAGCTGGGTGGAAAAAGGAATGTACTCTAGTCCTGGATCATAACTTGAAACTTTTGGATTAGAAGTCATATGCTTGACCATCCGACTAGGCCATCCCGTAAATTGCAAACAAATTTAAAAGTAATTAAAACCAGCTATTGAAAAAAAAAGTTTAAACTCTGGAGAACATCACCTCGGTAAGATTCCCAAACTGTGCATGTTTGACCAGGATGAGCGCCAGCAAGTCATAAATAGCTGTGATGTTGATTAAAGTCAGCTCATGGGTCTCTTCATTTCTCTCCAAGACTGCCTCACGTGTTGCCTGCAATAGTTTTACTGCATAACTGGATGTTTTAAAATTTATAACTAAAAACTTACACTTTAAAAAAACACCAGCTAAAAATAAATTACACAATAGTAGCAATTGTTGTTTTTAATTTTAGTCAATTTGCCAAAAAGTTTGTGTGATGAGAGAGTTGAAACAATAATGTAGCCAGTTACTACTCGCATTTCATAGAATAGAATTCTGAGTCCAAAATCTATGATATATTTAGGACACAGGCAGTTAAAGTCTTTGTATCCTACCTCAACTCACTATATTAATTTAAAAAAGTGTGAAACCTACCAATGTAACTATTTCTAATGACATAATTAAATATACTTTTAAAATGTATGCTCACCACAGCCTCAGCTATTAAAAGCAGTAACAGGACTTCCTCGTCAAGAGTTTTTGGAATAAAAAGTCTGAAATAAAAAATTTACAGGCTATTTAGACATCTTCAACAGTGCACTGAGTTAAATATTCTACAAAATTATCAATATAGGCTTTTTATGTGGGGAGGTTATGAATTTTGAAAACTATTACATTAAAAAAAAAAAAGTATGGCCTTTAATCGTGATTTATTTATTTTTTTAAAATCAGATTTTGTTTTTCAGCATTTTACATTCTTTTTAATGTGTTTTTAAATATCTTAGTGTAATAAATACATCACCAATATTTTCTGAAAGGGCACATGTTTTAGTATCTGCTACTGAACAATGGTATGAGCACAACAAACCTACTTACTTTTCTGATGAGTAGATGCAAGGCTTGGGGGCTATAACATTTAAACCTTTGGCTTTTAAATCTATTGATTTGTAAGAAGAGGAACTACAAGTCCGCAGCAGGAGCTGAGCAAGCTCTAGCGCAAGTGTCTGAATAATAATTGAAAATATATTTACATTTTCTTTTTTTCACAGGATAATATTTCTTAGCTGATAACTGAGGAAACAAAACAAGTTGTACCTTACGTATATCATGGGCAAATCTGGATTCAACTGCACGCAGCATCTCTCTGTATCTGTTGATGCACTTAGTTTCATCTCTATTATTTTAAATGGAAAAAAATATAGAATTTTATGCAATGAAACTTATGGAATACGATATTACTGAACAGCAATATGAAAGGATAATATATTTTATGAAAATAAGTTACTTTTTAAAATATTGAACTATATAACAATTTTTAATGTATAAAACACGAGTTAAATCAATTAATTTAGTATATTTTTCCTTGCAAGGTCAAATGTTAAATCAAAACAAAGCACTTTGATCTCATAACAACCAAAACCTGTGTTATTATGGGTTGGGTGAGATCTACCAAAGCTGGTCCAGAAAAAAAATAATTTTAATTCATTAACTGGTTGGCTTACCCTCTTTTCAAATGCAAGGCAGGGACCTGTTTGATAGCCATTTCAATCAAAGATGTGACAATGAAGTTGTTGGGCTCTGTTGTCTGTGAGACTGACTGGGGTGTGGTTGGTCTCTTATCTTTCTGCTGCAGACAGAGAAAAGCCAGATCTCCAGCTGTCTCGTAACAGGTTATAATTTCTTCCTCTCTCTCTGACAACTTAAACTTTGTTTTCATAGCTGACTTGGTTTTTTCCAAGCAGTAACCTATCAGTGGGGAAATAAAATGTCTATATTAATATTGAAGCTGTTTTAGAGAATGAACTAAAATTAATATTTATGACTTAAGACTGTGTGTACTCTGTACCTTTTTGTGTCTGATCTTAACAAGTAATGAATCAAGACTAGCTATTTTACATAAGATTTGAAAAAGTCACACAGTGCTTTGAGAAAAAGATGGCGAAAAATGGAAAGAAAACTGATGCTGCAGTGTCAGAGTTATGGGATGACGGAAAGATTGATTGTTGATGCTGAAAGAATTCTCTAGCTTGACAAAATAATCAAACCTATTTCAACACCTTTACACTATAGCTTGACAAGCTAATTTAACTCTACTTTCCCAATTTTAATCTCTAGGCTTCCCACGATAATTTAACCCTATTTCCATATGTTTAATCTCTAGCTTGCTAAGATAATTCAACCCTATGTCCACACCTTTAATCTCTAACTTGCCAAGAATTCAAGTCTATTTTCATACCTTTAATAGCAAAACACTCAGCAACAATATATAGAAGTCTGGTGTTTTTAAAAGAATTTCCTTCACTCTCACGCAGGGCAACATTTATGAGGTCCACTTTCTCCAATGTTGTTAAACACACCTGGTAGAACCCCTGACAAAACTGCACCTTAGCTAGCAACAGTATAGCTTGTTCCTTGAACTGTGGTTAAAAAAAACAACTGATACAATATAATAATGAATACATTTGAAAATGAGTTTCAAAGCATAATTTCAAAAAGCCAACTTTAAAAAAAAAAAACTGATTACTATTTTAATGAATTATAAAAGTATTTGATTTATTATTACAAAGTAGGTCCATGTTAAGCTTGAATTTGGATCAGTATTGCAGGGAATCTAAAACCTAACCCTAACTGAGGAAAACTGAGACACATTCAGGTTATCTGGAAAGGTTTTTTTTTTCAATCTTTCATTATCATTTGGAACAAGTTATCTTAAATCCATTTGATTATGAATAGAGCATGCTCATTAAATGTGGCATAGCTTATAGAAATATTAATTGTTAACACCAATTTTGTATCTCCAGGCTGAAAAGCATGAAGAAAAATAAAATTTACTAACTTGTGAATTTCCTTCAGCTAATGAAGCCAGTGAATTGTTGGCCTCTAAAAGCTCTTGCCTTGCTTTCAGAGCATTTACTTCATGTGTTGGGTCATGTGCTTCTATGTATTCCTCTAAGGCCATTTCTCCTTGTAAAAATATCACTAAGGTAGCTAAAAGAAAAGAAATTATGATATGTTCTTTCTAAAAATGTAATTTTCAATTTATGTTAGGCATAATTATTATATTTGAACAATAGCAATAAAATTTGAGATCCATCTCAAACCAATCCCAATCAGACAGTAACTTAGATGGCACTAGCTCATTTGAGGCTAAAATACTGCATTATAATTTTTGGCAACTCACAGCCTACAAAGAATTCCCTATCTGTGAATGAATTTTCTTTCAAAATACATAGATCTAGACCTGCTCCTGGGGGCTATGCCTTTTAATTTTTTAAGCTAGTCATAGTTTTTGTAGCAAGTAGCAAGGGTAACGCCCATCTTTGTTGTGAGAATCAAATGAGCTAGAACCCTCTATTTTAAATTTACTCTAGTCTAAACACTTTAAAATTAATTTAAATTTAGTAGATCTAGATCTAGATTCTAGATCTAGATCTAGATCTAGACCTAATTTAAAATTTTCGAATTCGAGGTTTAGTTCGAATAGAGTTCGTTCTGATTCCGGGATTTGAGGACCACTTTTTATATTTTAACAATAGGTTATTCCTACAATCATGTATTTTTTTATCTTACCAAAATCTGCCGATTTCGTGGCGCCTTGTTTTGCCAGTTCTACTGACTTTTTCCAACAGCTTTCTGCACGACATTTATCAATTTCACTTTCGAGTCGATATGTTTTTACTTTGGAGGCCATGACAGCGAAAACAAAGACTATACAGACATTTGTTAACCCAATAGGCTAAGACAGTCCTAACCAGATCTAGTATCCAGCCCATAAACTAACACAAACAAAAATTGTTTATCATAGGCCTAAATAATAGTAGTGAATTTAGCAGTTCTTATGTTTATTTATGATTTTAGTTTATAGTTAAAAAAATTTAGATTTTAAATCTATCTAGATTTCTAGATCTAGATTTCGAAGTAAAGTGCAATACTAAATAAAATATTGAAACTAGATTATAAGTATTGACACATAGATCTAATTGGAAAATAGAGATCCAAATGTATCTGGTCCCATTTCATTCAGTAGGCTATCATCACATTATATAGCAATCTTACTACTTTACTACTCTTCTTACATAAATTCCCCCCCCCACACACACACCTCATCCTTAATTAACATACCCCCCCCCCCCTCAGGGGGTCAGTAGCGTACACAGATGTGGAGCAATGGGGGGAGGGACGGCCGCTCCCACGCCTTGGGCCATTTTCAGGATGATGGCACTTTAATTTTCTGAGATTAACCAAAAATTAAAACAAAGTTCCAACTGCTATAAAAAAAGAAAAAAAAAACGTGCACTAACTTGAAATTATCAAAATAAATATTTCCAGGGTCAAAATTATTTCAAGTAATCACTTATTTTTAATTGTTTTTTTTTATAGCTACACGTATATATCATTATAATACTTATAACGGCTTCTGGATGAGCGCAAGGCAAGAATTTTTTAAGGGAGTCTTAATTTTATGTCACAACTAGCATGCGCGAACAGTGTTTCTTCCAGGCATCACTTCGGGGGGGGGGGGGGGGGGCGAAGAAAGTCTACCGCCCCCCCCCTTTCCCGAAAAATTTCAAGTGCCCCCCCCCCCCCCCCGTTGAGGAAGGATACACCGGGCGCTAGGCTGATAGTGCTGTCTCTTTTCTCTAAACTAAAACCACCCCACCCCCACACACACCACCCCCACCCCCCCCCCCCACACACACACCCACCCCCACACACACCACTACCGCCCCCCCTTCCCCGAAAATTTCAAGTGCCCCCCCCCCCCCCCCGAGAAAAAAGTCTGAAAGAAACACTGTGCGCGAAATATATAAGAATGGTTTCATCAATGCGTAACCAATCCTATATTCTTAGACGTGTTACCTTTTTTTTTCTAAAACTGAGTTATTTACAATGCCTGCTTGGATAATATTTATTTATAAGGGTACGGATTTAACTACCCTACCGCCCGTGGCGTGCTGTATGAAAGCCTTGAATGCACGTTAATTACTCACCGTAATAGTGAAGTAGAACTGCCCAGATGTCAGGGACGTAGAGTGGCGCTCTCGGGAGCCAATGATTACATTACCGCAGGGGCGCCGCAAACGGCCCCTGGCTCCGTTTAATCATCGAATGTTGTGTGCCACCGTGTCAGTATTGTAGGGTGCTCCTTAAAATAACGTAGGCGCCATGGTGCTCACGGAATAACCCAGAGGCGTAGCGATCCCTCCTGGCGCTCGGGGACAAATTTCAATTTGCCCCCCCCCATATATATTTTTTATACTTATAATTCAAAATAGCAGCTAAAATGAGCTTATTTTTGGCGCCCCTAGGGCCGGCGCCCGGAGACATATGTAACCCCCCCCCCCCCCCTGGAGCCTCCCCTGCTGTACTCGCAAAAACTTCCCAAAGTTTCATGGCGATCGAATGAAAGGTATAGTAACGCACAAAAGACAAACATACATTGCTTTATATATACCAGCGTGCTCGTTCGCGCGTTGCCGCGGTCTCAGGAGAAAGTATGACGTAATATTTTAAGAGGGTTTCATCATTGCGTAACCAATCCTATATTCTTAGATGTATAGCCTTGTTTTCTAAAATTGAGTTATTTAGATGTAAAAAAAAAATCATTTCATTATCATCATTAGTCCTCTTTGCTCCTTATGGAGCATAGGGCCTCCACCATTTCCTTCCATTTCTTCCTATCCTCGGCTATAAATTTTGACATCTCCCAAGACATCCCTATTGGCTTCAGTTCTTCAAGAAGACTCCGCCTCCAGGTCTGTCTTGGGCGCCCTCTCTTCCGCTTTCCCTGGGGGTTCCACTCAAGCGCTTGGCGTGTAACATTTGTGTGAGCCTTTCGCAGTGTGTGACCCACCCAGCGCCACTTCCTCCTTCTTATTTGCACACCTATAGGCTCCTGCCTAGCTTTCCTCCATAGTTCCAAGTTCGGCACTTTGTCCTGCCATCTCAGTTTCAGTATCTGTCTAAGGCATCTATTCATGAAGGTCTGTATCTTTGCTGTGCTTGCCTTGGAGACTCTCCATGTCTCTGCTCCATACAGCAGAACTGCCTTGACATTAGAGTTAAATATCCTAATTTTTGTGGTAATGGAGATGGCCGAACTTTTCCATATGGGTCGCAGGACTGTGAAAGCGCAGCGGGCTTTATTAACTCTAGCGCGTATGTCCTCCTCTGTGCCTCCCGTTTTGCTGATCTTGCTGCCAAGGTAGACAAACTCTTGCACATCATTTACCTGTCTTCCGTCTATTGACACTGGAGCCTCCTGTTTATTGTTAATTCTCATCATTTCCGTCTTTTCTTTGTTGATCTTCAGACCTACGCGCTGCGAGATGGCTCCTAATGCATCAACTTTTTCCTGCATGTCCTGTAGCCTGTGCGAGAGTAAGGCAAGATCATCTGCAAACTCCAGATCTTCTAGTTTCCCCGTGAGTGTCCACTGAATACCTTTTCCAGAACTGGCATAGGCTGTGCGTGTCACCCAGTCGAGAACTACCAAGAAGAGGAGGGGCGACAGCAGACATCCTTGTCTCACACCTGTGTTGACCTGGAACTCTTTAGACAGTTTCCCTGCATGGCTAACTTGGCATGAAAATCCATTGTAAAGTTGCTGGATTATTTCCACTAACTTAGCAGGTACACCATAGTGTCTCAACAGATTCCATATTGTTTGCCTATCCACACTATCAAAGGCCTTCTCAAAGTCAACAAAGCAGATGTAAAGCGGGGCCTGCCATTCTATCGTCTGTTCTACAATAATTCTAAGAGTGGCTATCTGATCTGTACAAGATCTTTCCTTCCTGAATCCTGCTTGTTCCTCTCTTAGCTTAAGGTCAACCGCCTCTTTCATTCTGTCCAAAATAACTCTGGTAAGGACTTTACTTGGTATGGACAACAAGGTAATGCCCCTCCATTTTCCACACTGAGATAAGTCACCGTTCTTAGGCAACTTCACAAGGAGGCCCCTTTTCCAATCGGTTGGGATCTGTCCTGTGTTCCAGACTAAGTTAAGTAATTTATGAAGTCGATTTACTACTTCTTCCCCACCTTGTTTTAATGCCTCTGCTGGGATATTATCTGGTCCTGCTGCCTTGCCACTCTTCAAACTATTTAAGGCGTTGAGAATTTCCTGTCTGGTGATTTCCTCGGTATTGATGTTAAGGGGTTCCCCTGGCTCCAGGTCTGGTGGATCTTGAGGTGCTGGACCGTTTAGTACTTCCTGGAAGTGCTCTCTCCATCGTGCCAATTGTTCCTCAATTGACGTTAGAAGTTTACCATTTTTGCTCCTCACTGGCCTGTTGGTATTGGTTTTCCTCTCACTCAGAGCTCTGGTTGTTGCATAGAGCGTCTTGAGATCTCCCTTACTGGCAGCTGTTTCGGCCTCCTCTGCCATTTCATTTATAAACAATCTCTTGTCATTTCTTAGTTTCCTTTTCACCTCTTTAGCCTTTTCGTTATATCGAGCGGCTGCTGCTTGTTTTTGCTGCCGCGTTTTTGCTTGATTTAGTTCGCTCTTTAGGCTTTTTCTTTCTTCCACCTTCTGCCATGTATCATCTGTGATCCAGGGCTTCCTGTTTGGCGCTCTGCCTCCTAGAGCCTCTTCGCAGGCTTCAATAGTGGCTTGCTTAAATACTTCCCAGGTGTGTTCAACTGAATCAAGATCTTTCTCTTCTGTCTGTAGAGCTTCAAACCGATTCTTTAGGGTGACCTGAAAATTTGTCCTGTTGTCTTGCGTCTTAAGTTTACTTACATCAAATCTTCTTCGTGGATCAATTTCATGTTGCCTCTTCTTTGCCTTTAGCTTCATCTTCAGTTTAGCAACAACCAGGTGGTGGTCGGATCCTATGTCTGCTCCTCGCTTTGCTCTCACATCCTGCAGCGAGGCCCTCCAACGACGCCTTACCGCGACATGATCAATCTGGTTTTCGGTATGATGATCTGGTGATATCCAGGTGGCTTTATGACACCTTCGGTGGGTGAAAAGTGTACCGCCGATAGTAAGCTCATTTGAGGCACAAAAGTCTGCGAAGAGTTCACCATTTTCATTCATTTCCCCTAGGCCATTGGTTCCCATCTCCATTTCCCTGCCTCTGTTGTCTTTGCCTACTTTGGCATTTAAATCACCCATGAGGATCAGCATGTCGCGCTTGGGTACCTTATCAACCACCGACTGAAGCTCTTCGTAGAAACGGTCTTTTTCTTCCTCGTCTGCGTTGTTCGTAGGAGCGTAGCACATGATAATGGAGGTCTTTTGAAACCTGGATTCAAATCTAGCTTTAATTATTCGATCAGATACAGGTTCCCATTCCATCAGGCTTTTTGTTGCCTCCTTTGTCAATAGCAAGGCTACGCCTGCCTCTCGTGGGTCGTCCTCATTTTCTTTTCCCGAGTATAACAGTGTTTCTCCCGTCTGGAATTTTGTCTCTCCAAAGGTGTTCCATCTTGTTTCGCACAGGCCAAGCACTGTAAGATGATACTGATGCATTTCTTTCACTGCCTGTGCACACTTCCCTGCTTCCCATAGTGTTCTGACGTTCCATGTTCCTATGAGGATAGGTTTCTTTTGCGACAGTAGTTTTGGGGCTGTGGATTTAGTTTTCCTCGGTTGAAGAAGGGGGGTCGGCTCTGTAGCTTCCTTACGGATTTGGCTGCATTGCGTCATACTTCTCCTAAGTGGAGCCCTGATTCTCCCGAGGACTGGATTTGTTTCGGATTTGGCTTTGGTTTCTGTAACTGTCTTTTGTTTTATGTGGACGAGTAGTTAGCCCATCGCACAACCCCCAACCTGGAGGACCAGGGCACATCGTTTGGTCTGGCCCCTACCCACGCAGATCTGTCCGACTTGGTTAGACCTGCCAGGAGCACTAGGCTCCCGCCGGCATAGCTCTGGGGGTCGCTGGGGCACACAAGCCATCCCACCACTTCAAGGCGGTGTGCCATCAAGGTGTAACCCCCCCCCCCCCCCCCTGGAGCCTCCCCTGCTGTACTCGCAAAAACTTCCCAAAGTTTCATGGCGATCGAATGAAAGGTATAGTAACGCACAAAAGACAAACATACATTGCTTTATATATACCAGCGTGCCCATCCGCGCGTTGCCGCGGTCTCAGGAGAAAGTATGACGTAATATTTTAAGAGGGTTTCATCATTGCGTAACCAATCCTATATTCTTAGACGTATAGCCTTGTTTTCTAAAACTGAGTTATTTAGATGTAAAAAAAAAAATGCCTGCGCTATATTTCTTGATCATATTTTGTGGGGCACGGGTTTTCCTACAATACCGCCCGTGCGAAATTGAATTTTTTTTCCCGCAGAAACCTTCTCGGGAGTATTCTCATCAACTCCCCAAAGTTTCATGGCACTCGGATGAAATGTGTAGTAATGCATAAAAGACAAACTGGCAAACATGCACTTTGCTATATATATATATATATATATATATATATATATATATATATCCTTCCACTTTAGCACCAAAATTCAATAATTTTTTCCTCAAACAAGCTCAAGGTAGGCCTTTTAACCACAGATATTGTGTGTGTGTGTGGGGGGGGGGGGGTCTACTTTCAACTATCATTGTTTTGTTTTTTATCTGTACCGTTTAACAGATGTAGACTAACTGTTCGCGTAAAGTATGCCTCATGATTAAGCACAATATAGCCACATGGGCCTAGGCTGGACGATGGGCGTCTTCGAGTCCTCATAATGAATGATCTTAACCAGAGAATGTGGGCACCCTTAGCCTTAAGTCCACCTTTCTCTGATGGTTCACCAACTTCTGAATGGGCATTGGTATATACGTTTATATTAAAAATCTATTTTTAAAAAGGCTGCTACAAATGTACCCTTCAGTTAAATTAAAACAGTGCCTTTCAACAAAAAGGGCGACCCATCCAGGCGGGGGCACGGTTCGCACCGGCTGACAACATTTAAGGGGTTGAAATAAAGACAAAAAAAATGCAAGATATATAGAATAAATGTTTTTTTTTTGCCAAGTCAATGGATGGTTAATTACAGGTAAAAAGTATTTTAAGTACATAATGATGATCCCGAAAAGGGTGGGGAGCGACACCATAATGTAAAGATGGAAACTGTAAAGAAAACAATGCTACATCCAGCTTTATTAACAACCGACTATAGATAAACATCATCTATCTAAATAATTATCTTCAAGGAGGGACCGTGCGGGGCACCACGGAAGCACGCCGAACCGCCCCCTCCCTCGCTCTCTAGGCATATCGCTACCACCCCCATCAGTCTGGTGAGCTGTGGTTCACGCCAAATTTTTACAATTGTAGAGCCGGGTCGAATTAGTGGCAGATAATTACGTTTTTAAACGATTTGAAACTATGGTGAGGTAATAACAAGTTCTGCTTGATCTTTTCATGGTCTGTAAGCTGTCGTCACGGACGGCTGCTTTAACGGAGCGCAGGGGGGGGGGGGGGGGGGGGGGGGGTGAGGATAAACGTCCTTCGTGAGCTACTGATAGTGTTTTAAAGCAAAATATTCTCAGTCGCAGCATTGCTAGTGTTGAATTCACAAAATATGAATTACTGAATGTTAGAAAATTAAATAGCGGCGTATGCTTACGGCGCGGGTCAGCTTGTTATTATAAAATGTGAATACTTCAAAGCTTTTAAGGGTGTGTGTGTGCAAAAACTGCAAAATTTACAGAGAAAAAAAATAGGAGGGGGCTGACACCATGAGATGCCGCCAGAGTTTCTACCAGGCATCTCTTCGGGGGGGGGGGGGGGGGGGTACCGCCCCCCCCCCCGAACGAGATGGAATTTATATAGGAATTATATACTTTTGACAGTGTCTGTCCCCCCCCCCCCCCCCGAAAAGTCTGGAAGAAACACTGGTCCGCCTAAACCCTATTCGCCCCTGCAGCCTACTTCTAGTACTACGCGTTATTGCTCGTCAAGCAGGAGAGTATATAATTTTACTTTGAGCTATACCCTTGTGAGATATATAGCCTGTAGTTTACCTGCATTTTAAATTTATTACTTAGAATTTTAAATGGCAGAAGTAGTTATTGTTAATTGTCATAATTAGTTGAGGTTGAAGCGTAGGGCCATGTTAAAGTATGTCACTATGTTTTATGGCATGCATGAGATGGTAGTTTGATGTTTTACTAAAATCTATTCTACCCAAACACAGACTAAATACATGGGTACATTATCTATTTCAAGCAGTTTATATCCACAAACCTGAGGCCGTATAAAATTAAAGGTCACAATAAGTGGTCTTATAATCATGAACATAAGCTTTCTTCCCGTTAAACTTTTCAGGGATGAGAGAGAGGAAGGAATCCAATGGCGATATAGAAGAACATTTATTCCTTATATTTATGTCTTAGGCACTGATACTAGACCTCAAAGAAACCACTCTATGTACATAATACAAACTGAAATCGCGTCATCTGCTTGTAATTGTATTACACTGTTCAGTTTGAAAAACAAATTTTTTCAATTTCAAAACCCTATTAAGTAACGCATAGCACTCTGCATTCAGCCACTGACAATACAAGTCACAAACCCTAAGAACTGTCCACATGTAGACCAAGCTGTTAAGAATAGGAATGCACAACACATGACTTCAATTGTTCATAGAAAACCATTCCAAAAAAAAAAAAGACAAGTGCTTTTTTTTATACATTTTTAATACCATTATAAGAGAAACATTTTACGCCTCAGCTTCCTCCTCTGGCTTGTTGAAGACATAGGTGAGACAGCATTTACCACAATATTGTCTATCGAAGTGGGATGCCATAAATACACCAGCTCCACAGTATTTGTTTGGGCACTCACGTCTAAGTCGAGTTATCTTGCCATTCTCATCAACCTACAGAAAAAAATTTACATTAATCTACTGCAACCAACTTAGTACATTTAAATTTTTGAAAATAATCATGATTGCTCAGAGATTTTAAAATTTCATAGACAAATCAATGGTGTCCTAAGTAGTCATCAGCGCAACCAGCAAAAAATAGACATTAAGGTGAAACAATAGTAATCAACAGCATATCATTCAATCAACAATGAAATGTGATAAAAAAATTCTACTAGGCTGATAAAGATGTTCAACATTAGTTGATAAAATGTCAATTGTATGGACTTTTTTTCAAACAGTAAACAGCCATAAATGTTATATCATGAAAGCATAAAGATATGAGTATTCTCCGAAAGAATATCAAGATAGCACCGTAAACCCCATTTATAACCAGAAACCAAGAAAATGACAAATAAACTACAAGTGTTAGACTCAACAGAATAAAATAGCATGTCTAGACGGTTAAATTGGTGGACTATCAATTTAAGAAATGCTCAGTATCTTAGATATTTCATTGGATGTCAAGGGTGTCCTAAGAAGTCATCATAGCATTTCTCACAGTAAAACAGCCCATTGGAAAGACAAAACAACCCAGCATGACCCACCCAACCAGTGCTTTATAAATTATTAACATTTATGAGTAAAAAAAAAAAAAAACAACTGGAAATTAGTTTAACACAAGCATGCTATCAAAAGAGCACATTTAATAATCTTAATATACATGAGTGAACAGTAAATATAAAAAGTGTGGATCAAGCAGGATTGAGTAGGTCAAGACTACAAAAATAAATAAAGATTAAAAGATTGCTCATACTTTGTGTGGTCTCATAATAATTCAAGGGTGTCCTAAGTTGTAATCACAGCAATCAACCAAAAACAAACTGGGTAAGTAAAACAAGACTTCTGTCACAAACCTTGTAGAATTTAAGAACTGCAAGCTTGACCTTCTTCTTCTTGTGCTTGTTTTTCTTGGGTGTGGTGTAATTCTTCTTCTTGCGCTTTTTGCCACCACCTCTAAGACGTAGCACCAAATGAAGGGTCGATTCCTTTTGGATGTTATAGTCTGACAATGTTCGGCCATCTTCAAGCTGCTTACCAGCAAAAATCAATCTCTGCTGATCAGGAGGAATGCCTGAAAGAAACAAATGCACATACAGGTTACAGCAACGAGTTATACAAGGAGTGGGGTAAAATCTTAACAAAAAAGCAATGCAAGCACAAAATATATTTAATGTCATATTCCATAATTAGAAATAGTAAAACAAACTATATCTTAAAATAGAATAATTATTATGTATCTTCTCGTACGAAAAACCTCTGGCAATAAATTTCCAGAAGCTCAGACTGGAAGATAAAACCTAAATAAACCACTCATGGCTTAATTAATATACTACTGCAACCAAGTTTACCTTCTTTGTCCTGAATCTTGGCTTTAACATTTTCAATGGTATCACTAGGCTCAACCTAAAAGGAAAAAAAAGATTGTAAAATCTAACTCCTCAATGTTGAGCAGTACAAGTGTTATGTGAAGGCTAGCATGGAAAAGTTTAACTTATGATCAGGGCTAAACACTATTACAAAACAGATTTGTTACCTCAAGGGTGATAGTCTTGCCCGTGAGGGTCTTCACAAAGATCTGCATTTTGCCACCTTAAATTTAAGAATAGGAAATAAACTTTATTGTAGCCTAACTAATGAATTAGTAAAGCACTACTTTTTTTTTAAGATTACGAATGCTAAACAATTGTCTGTACACCAAAACACACGTAGATCTAGATACAAAGGAGCTTAAAATATTCATTTGTAAAGCGAAGTGACTACTCAGAAGAAGATTTTTCTCCCCAACGTCTCTACTTAGGCAAAAGATAGCTCTGCGCAAGCGCAGTAACCTATGGCCAGGATTAGGGTTGGTGCTAGGGTACTGCAGTTGTAAACACATGCATGCGCAGTCTGCAGTACCACCGAAAACATCGCTGCGATGGCCAGCTGTAGTTTCTCTCCATTGTGCATGCCGATCTTATTCCGGCCAGCATCGGCCTTTTTAAAGTATGCCTGGATCAAGCTCTACCACCCACCTACAGAGCAACCATTACCAGCATGTTTTTTTAAATATACAATTGTAAAAAGATTTTTTTTTGACATAAAATTAGGACTGATCTATGCTTGGGTAAGCTGAAGCAAGCTGGTATTCAGAAGAAAGCTACAGTTGAAACTAAAAAGCTAGCAGCTAGAGGAGCTTACACTTTTCGGACACACATAGCGAAAAAACGCAACGTAAAAATTCCATGCGGTCTCATTCAGTAACCGCTTAACATAGAAAACAAAAAAAAGTATCATATCTATCCGCAACCATTCTACTTTAATAATGTGTGTGTCATTTTGTATTCATACGCATAGAACTTAAGCTATTCTTGTTATAGTGACTGGGGGGTCTTAACGTGTGTTCGAACACATGTAATACAGTTTTACATGTGTTCGGACACCTTTACCCGTCATCGGACATAGCACTTTTTGTTCATTTAGAATAATTTAAAGTCAATTTAATGAATAAAAACATATATTATATGCATTTATATTGTGTTATTGATTGTTTGTGAGGTAATTTTAATAGTATAAAACCTTTTTCCCACACTCCCAAAGTTCATCCCATTCAGCCATTGCGGCTCGCGCAGTACGCTGCTAAGCCAGCCAGGTCACATGATTCCCCCTCCTCTTTCGCATTCCACTGCCTTCTTGACCTTATTTTGACCCTTTCCCTTCAATAACCAGCCCCTTTTATGCTCTAAATTCTTATTTAATAATATTTTTGTGTTGCTGTCCGGTCCCATGTAAGGCCAAATAAGTTAGCGAACACCCCTTTTTTATTGTTCAAGCACGAAAAAACCCATTAACCTTGACATTTACGATGTTCCATACATATATAGAAGCTATTTATAGTGTAACCTTTTAGCTAAGCATTGATTGGTTCAAGTTTTGCCCCTAAGTCCAACCCTAGGTCACTTCATCCGGCTGGTGTAAAAATAGAAATGTGCGTACCATGCAACGTTAAAAAATTTCTAAAAATGATTCTTGAGAAAGGAAACGGAAGTACTTGACACGGAAGTGTTCATAAATGAACAGTTTACGTGCAGGCGCCGTGGTTTCGCGTGAGACATGCTAATTAAAGTTTCTATGAGCCAAAAACCGACGAAGTGTTCGGTCCTACGTAATTTTTGGTGTGTGTCCGAAAAGTGTAAACTCCTCTAGATCTAGAATCTATAGATCTATTTGTCAGGTCTACCTAACCATTTTTTAAAAGCACTAACTTTAATTGTACAAAAATTAATAAACTAAAGTTTGATTTAAAATTAAATGCAGGACTGGGTGAGAGAAGGAAAGCTGAGTGATTTCAGATTTACTCATAAAATTTCCACGTTACAGACCTTAACTTTACTACAAGATCAAATTCTCATGTCAATGCCTAGCTTCAATTTTTAAATAGATCTACTCTACAAGTTAATACACTTCGTTAAGTTTATTTGTGTGCTGAACTTAGGAATGAGAATATACGTTTACTGTGACATCAAACAAATGGCGGATGGGAGGACCATGCTTTATTCCGGGGCAAGTGGCTCACGCCACAGATGCGTTTTACTCAATTCACATCAAGGAATAAGATTTTAACGTATTTTTAACAACCCGTATCAACAGACAACATGCATACAAGCACTTTCGAGTAAATGATATACAATAAGAACAAAGAAAAATTTGGTATAAAATATTTTTTTTAAAGAAACAGGCCTTACCACTCTGCCTAGTAATGGCATAAACCCGGAAAGAACGAAATGCGCATGCCCCGACTAGAAAATCCCTCAATACAACACTTTAAGTTTTGAACTTCATAAATACTTAATATTTAACTTATATATTTTTTTTACATAATTAGATTAAATAAATTTATACTTAACTATATAAGAGCTATGAAATTTATTATAATATGTTTTTTCAAAATAGTTGATTTACTAAATTCATTTATGGATTGGAGAGTATGCAATCCATAAAATGTTTCAACTTCTTAGAGTATAATTAATTATATTTCGATGCGCCAACGCTAATACAAATTAAATTAATGAAAATTCTTGGAGCGAGGAGGGGGATAAACAATAATAATTTTATATTTTAACGTTTTGAATTATTGTGATGCTAGTACTGCTTACACTCTGACTATTATGATTATATCTTGTTGGGTTAGGAACTCAACAACTTGGCGAGTGTTAACTCGGCTATAGGCCTAACTAACTCGCCGATTGTAATTTGGACAATCAAAAACACATTTATTATGATTTATAATATACAATAAATTTTATTGTGCTTGAAGTTAATGGACAAATTAATTAATTAATTAGGCTAGATGGGTTGATTTGTTTTAAAAATGGTTAGAGTTGAATACCAGAATAGGCCTAGCTCAGTAGATCTAGATCTATTCTATATCCCGCGGGGTGGGGTAAGGGGTTGAATTGCGATATTATAGCCTACAGACTATAGTAGTCAAATATTAAATGTTTTTACGTTTGAATAACATTTCTTTGAAAAATAAAAACAAGTATAATCGATTTTAATTTATTTTTTAAAAGTATTTTTTTGCTCGCTGTCCGTTATGTATAGGCATTATATTATAAATTACTTCCTGTATTAGTTCTCAGACTTAGGTCACTAAGGCCACTGAGGGTGTTGGTAAATTGTGAAAAGCGAAATGGCGAGGCGGTAAACTGCGAGAAGAAAATGCGAGACATGTAACTGCGGAGTCACATGCGAGACATAATTTGCGCAAAAAAATTTTTTTTTTCATGTTTCTATTTTATTTT